CAGCCCGGATCTCCGGTCGCACAGTTGGCTCGTATTTGAGACTCAATTACCGAACCTCGGTGCTGGAAATCCTTCCTCTAGGTTTCGGTGCACCCCCATTTTGCTGTAAGTTCCTAACAAGATAGTTTTTTGTCATTCTAACTCGTTATTCACCTTCGAAGTGGCACGGTACACGGGGTGTGATGCACTCTATTCGCGGCCATCTTGGAGTCCCTTTTTGGTGTATTCACTCTGGCCTTCTTTCACTAGCATGCATGAGGCACTGGATTCCATTCTTAGCAGCACATAAAAATAAAAGATATTGTGTCCACCTAAAATCTTTGAGGTATCTGAAGTTCTAAAACAGTTTTAGTCAACTTAGAAGAAACCCATGTACATCTGAACACACAGTAGAGATGATTTGGGCCTGTTCCTCACAGCCAGGGCATTTCACTCGCCCACACTGAGGAGCCTCTTGGAACGTCTCCTCTCTAACACCTTTGATTTGGGAGGCTGAGGCAGGAGAATTGCAAGTTTGAGGCCAGCCTTAGCAACTTAGCGAGACACTGTCTCAAAATTAAAATAAATAAATTTCGAAAAAAAAATTATTAAAGGAGAACAACTACAAAATTATCTCACAGATGCAGTTAATAAACACCTGATCAAATTAATTTATGATAAAAACTCTTATTAAATGAAGAATAGAAGGAATAAAAGGGAGATACCAAAAACATCCAAAAATACACATGAGGGCATGCAGAAGCCAGAGAGAAGATGAATAAACAGAACTTTCAGAACTAGTTTAGGTGAGGAGAAGCTCAGAAGCAAATTTCTTGGACCAAAAAATCATGCCTCTTCTAAATATAGAGATTTGATTCATACTGTCCCCATTTTCCAGAAACTATTTATGAGAATTTTGCTGATAATAACAGGGAGGAAGATGGAGAATAGGTCTCTTTAGTGATCATAGCCTTGAAGAAAGGTCAGTCTGAACAAATATCCATATGTGAAAATATCTTCACAAGTGCTAAGGAAACAAGGTATGATATCAAGATACCTAGGTGTAGACACATTAAAGAGGGTAGAGAGCATAGTCTTATATTATCTGCATATCATTTCCCCAACCCCAAGCAGCACAGCCCAGAGAGACCTATTGTCCGCTTGAAGAAAGTGGAGGGAAATGAATACAGGACTTTGCCTTGGATTCCAATACTGAGCACATCATATTAAAATCCAACACCAGGCAGGCCCCCCTGCTTCATGTCACTGTGAACCAAATACATGACCTGAACAACCTAGAAGAGGAAAAGTTTATTTGGGTTTCAGAGGTCTTTGTCTATGATCAGTCAAATACATTGCTTGGGGTCTCATCTGAGGCAGAAAATCATTGTAGAAGGGCAATGTATAGGAAAGCTCCTCACTTTATGGCAGACAGGAATCAGAGAGTGAGAAAGGCACCAGGACAAAATATAAACCCAAAAGGTATGCCTTCAGTGGCCTAGTTCCTCCAGCCACACCCCACTTCTCTACAGTTACCACTCTGTTAATCCATTTAAATTATTAATCTATTAATTGAATTAATTCACTGAATAGGTTATTGTTTTGAGACACTATTCCAAAGTCCCAAATAAAACTTCAGGTCTTTTTGAAGCAAAATACAAAGGATTTATTCTGGCTGGGGTCAAAAGCACAGAGAGCAAGCAGTTCTACAATCCTCAACCACGATTGGGGGTGGGAACCAGCTTATAAGGACTAAAACCACAAAGAAGGGGGGACAGAAGAGGCAATTATAATCACAAGACACATTTCATAAAGTGAAAAACTACATATTATCAGAAGCACATTTTTAGAAAAACAAGCTTGCATTAGTTCCATAGTTCAAGGATATAGTGGTCAGGGTACAAGTGGGTGATGGTAGAGGTGTCAGCTTCTATGTGAGTGGGCTCATGTAGAAGGAGGACCAATTTCACATAGGATGAGGTGTCTGAACAAAATGGAGTAAGTCTGGGCTAATTTTCAAGTCAGCCCATAACAATAGCTATTATAATCTAATCACTTCATATCCTGCATTAATACAGGAGCTTTTGGTGGGGGGATACTTCATATCCAAACCTCAATGTTCCCAGATTCCTAAACTAACCAGGAACTGAACCTCTAGATCCACCTTGATGCCAGGCCAGAACTCACAGTCCTAGATTTCAGGCTTATGGTGCAGACTTGATCTCTGGTCTCTACTACTACTGGTTTGACTTCAGTACTCTTTGGCCCCAAACAGTCCCCAGTATCAGGCCTATACACAACAGTCCTAGGTTTGCCTTGGTGTCAAATGGTCACAGGTTTTAAGTCAGTCCTTGGAAGTAACAAGCTCCAGACCCACTCCAGGAGACCAAATCAACAAATTCCCTCAATTGGATTCAGGCTCTAAGTCCTTGCTGACTCAGGCATCAGTCAAGCCAGCCTTAGTGTGGCAGCAGCAAGCTTGCCCATGGATCATGCCAGAAAGCCTGTCCAGAATCTCTGAACTAGCTGACTGGTGAAGAATTGATCCAGACAAAGTCAGTTTGCAAAATCATGTCTTCAAAAGTGCAGATACCAATCCATTGCCAAAAAGATTAAGAAAAAAAGAAACATGATATCACCAAAAGGACAAAATAAAACAGCTTTGGCCTTAAGAAAATGGAGAGGAATAAACTGCCTGATTAAAAATTCTTCAAGATACATATTTCAAGAAAACTCAGTGAAGTTAAAAAAAAAAAAAGAAAAACAACAACAGAGAAACCTCTCAATGAAATGCAAACAACACCGAAAATAAATACAATAATTGATCAGAATGAGGGTTGGGACTGTAGCTCTGTGGCCGAGCGCTTGCCTCATACTGGTGAGGTACAGGGTTTGATCCTTAGCACCACATAAAAATAAATAAATAAACAAATAAAATAAATATATTTTAAAAAGAATTGCTAGAGCTGAAAATATAATTAAAACTAATAAAACAGAAGGACTGTGAACTCAAAGACAAGTTACTTGAAAATACAGTCATAAGACAAAGAGATTAAATAATAAAAATAAATGAAGGAGTACTGTAAGACTTATGGGATAATCAAAATAGCAACTTTGTGAGCCATAAAGGGACAAGAAAGAGAAAAATAAAAGGGTAGAAATCTTATTTAATGAATAGTATCCCCAAACTGGGACATGGAAAGAAAGAGAGAAAGGGGGAGGGAGGGAGAGAGGGGGAGGGAGTGAGGGAGGGGGAGAGAGAGAGACACCAGCACAGTAAGGTCAATGTCTCCAATCAGATTAAATTCAACAAGACAACCAATTCTGCAACCCTCAACCATGAAGATATATTATATTCAAACTGCCAAAACTCAAAGACAGCATCTTGAAAGCAGAATGAGAAAAGAAGCATTTAACATGCAAGGGAATTTCAATATGGCTAGCAAAAGATTCATTAGCAGAACTCTTACAGGACAGTAGAGTGGGATAGTATATTCTAATGCTGAAAGGAAAAACTGAACAAATAGTGAATCCAGCACAGCTGTCCTACAGAAACAAAGGAAAGAGAATTAATCACCACCAGACCTGTCTTACAAGAACTGCTAAAGGGAATTCATCAAAAAGGGGTGGGGACACCCCCCACCACACACACAGAGAAACTAAAGTATACAAGTAGAGAAAATCACTTAACGCCAAAGGAAGACAATAATAGAGCAAATGATCCATAGAACATCCTGAAAACAATTACAAAATGATAGTACTTAACCCTTATGTATTAAAAAAAAAAAACCAAACTAATTTTTGGTAAATATGTTGTAAGCCACACAGTGTGAGGTGCTTCTGGGAAACATCCTTAAGAGTAGAACAGGGAGATTCTGATTCTCTGCTGCCTTCTTCCATTCTGTTCCGTGGAATGAGAATATGAGGATCGGACAGACAACAGCAATCTTAGGGCTATGCATGTTGTATCAGGCTCAAGGAAAGGCAGAGAGGTGAGCTAGAAACAGCCAATGTTCCTAATGACTTCACAAAGCCATTGTGCTATCCCTGGGGTATCTTTCTCTGTACTATTTTTTCCTAAGAGAGAAATTGGTTTCTAACTTGTGTAAGCCACTGTCATCTTTTGTTTTGTTTTGTTTTCTGTCATATACAACTGAATCTAAATTAAATGAACGTATCCTTGCAATATTCTTTCCTTTCCTCCCAATGCCTTCAGATCACTCATACTTCTTTGGATGTTAAGATTTTTTCAAGAAAGTTACCCACAACTCCACCTAGGCTATGTTAGATACTTCTGTCAGTATTTACTGCTAGATTAGACTCTATGAGTGCAAGAATGAATCTATCCCTCTCAGCAGTATATAGTAATGGTTTAATAAATATTTGTGGTCTGATTGAAAAAATAATTAGTAGCTATTATCATAAATTCATATCTTTAAATAGGTCTGAGGCACAACTGAGAGTGCTTGTGTAAACAATGGCTAGTGTAACAGACTTGTCCTAGAAATTTACATGGGTGATAGGTAGGAATAACTAATGATGGAGAAGTTTATTTTGGGTGCTCCTAAGTTTTCATATTTTCTAAGCTCCAGAGGCTTCAAACCACCATGGTTTCTGAGGAGTTCTGCCATCCCAGGAGTATACAAAAACAAAAACAAAACAGTCCTAATACACAGTGAAATGTGGAATATGTGCATTTTATTCCAAGATACTTCATAATTTGATGAGATTTACATTCTAGTGGAGGAAAATACACAACTTAATGGCAGGTGGTAAAGTATTCTATAAAATAAAACAGGGGGAAAGGAGGTAGAAAATGATATGTAATGCAATTTTAGATGTGGTGATCAAAGTGTTTCAGGGAGTGATATTTAATCAAACATTTAAACAAATATAATACTATCACATCGGAATTTTCTGAGGATAATACTTAAGATGTTTATCTTCTGATTGTATATCCTAAAATTATAATCTACCAAATTGAAATATTCTTATACCAGAGGAATTTTCATAATACTTACTTTCCATAGCTTTGTACTTTTTTTCTCAATTACAGATCTCAAGAGGCCGTGGGTTATCTGTAGGATGTTTTCAATGTATGGTAAGCATTCTGATTGATAATCAAAACTTAAAACATTGAAAATACCAATTCGCTTCTCAATGGTCATAGTCAAAACACATCGAAAGTAGTTTTGAAATTTATGTAGAATAGTTTTAAACTGTGCTGAAGATAATTCTTTCAAAGATGATATTTTCATACTCATGACTTTGGCTTTCTCAACCATGGTACAATATTTTAGAAACTTGTAGCTGTAAATACTAACTAGGCCCATTGAATCACCAATAACAGTCAGGAGATTCACAATCTATAAATAAAAATATTAAAAAGCCAGAATTCTTATTGTAAGAGTGAAAAAAGTATGGCCTGATAAACTAATAGTTCTTATTAAAATAAAATAATAACCTTATGTGAATTAATTTTGTTCAGAACCTCTATTAAATATCAAAATATATTGGAAATAAAAGAAATATAAGAAATTCAGATGACTAATTCTTGACTTTTATGGAAAGGTTTATTTGTCTATTTAACTTTATAATTAATATGCTACTTTGAGCCACATACTAGAAAGATCAATCATTTATTTTCTTATTGCCCTGTTTTAGAGTATATGTTCTATACATAGTCCCAGAAAAGCCAAGTCTTATATACTATGTGAACTCATCCAACTTCCAAGACATAGTTAATTTGGATATTGTGACCCAAGTTGAGCCAATTAGATTATCTATGAATCTGGGGAAAAATATCCACTTAGATAGTAACAAAGAGTTGGATAATGTGTCAATATTTGGCAAGATGATCTTATGCAGGAGCCATAAAAGAGAAATCCCATGGTGAATAAAATACACTGTGGTGAGCGTGAATGAGAGATTAAGGGAAAGACAAATGAGAGATAATATGGGAATAATTTTCCAGTTGCCATAAACTGTGAAACTCTTAATTTTCGATAAATCCCTTACATCTGAGAATTTCAGGGGTTTCTACTCCCAAAACCAAACATTCCCTGAGATGAATAGTTCTTTTTTTAAAAATTCATTATATTTACATATAATATCAGGGTTCATTTTGATATAATACAAACATGGAATAAAATTTGCTCCAATTCAGTCCCAAACTTACTTTATTTTGATAGGCAGTATCCATTTCAAAAAGTAGCTGACAATCTGGCCATCTAGTTTTTTTTGATAAATCCATAATTGAAATCCAATCAATAAAGATAGACAGGCGGGGATCTTGGTAAAGAGGAGTAATTTTGGCTAAAATATATAATTTGAAATTTAATATTTTCAGAAGTCCCATTAAAAGCAGGACTTTTATTATTAATGTTATTAATGATATCTAGAACTGCTAAAAACTGAGATTGATTTATTATGAGGGTTAGACAGAATACTGATCTATACTAATTGATGGAATTTAAGGATAGATGTAAAAGTTTAGATTTAATATAATAGAAACAGAAGAATCATTCATAGATAATTGTGATGATACAGGAGGGCATAAATAGTTTCTATTATAAGTTGTTCAGTTAACAAACATTTGAAATATATCTGCTCTGTGGAAAATATTATACGATTAAGAGTACACAAAGATTAGAAGACACAACCTCTACTATCAAGGAGTTCATAATCTAGCTAAGCTTCTAGATTTCCATAGGCAAAACAAAAACAAAAACAAAAAGCTTGACCTGCATTTTACACTTTACACAAAATATCAACTCAAGATGGATCCTACACCCAAATATAAATCACAAACCTATAAACCTTTGAGAAAATTAGTGTGACTTGAGTTTTGCCTAAGAGTTTTTCGATACAAAAACAAAAACATAATCCATACAATAAAAAAATGATGAGCTAGATATACATTATCAAAATTAAATAGTTTAGCTCTATGAAAGAGGATGAGATGATAAGGTACTGACTGGGAGAGAATGTTTACAAATCATAGATATGATAAAGCACTTGGCCCAGATTACATGCAAATCCTCTCATAATCCAATAATAAGTAGACTGTTACCCCAATTTAAAAAATTAGGCAAAAAACTAAGGAGAATTTGATGAAAGAAAATATACAGATGGAGGATAAGAAAAGATGAATAATAATAAACAAGTGAAGTGAAAATTACTGCCATATCACTATACACATATAAGAATGGCTAAAATTAAAAATATCTGACAACATCAAATGCTGACAGGGATAAAAAGAAACTCATACCTTGTTAGCAGAAATTTAAAATAATGGTACTACTTTTCAAAATTGTTTAGTTATTCTCAAAAAAAATTAAGCACACACTTTTGACCCAGAAATTCCACTCCTATTTACTCAAGAAAAAAATATGTTCATCAAAAGATCTATATGTGAATGTTTATGGTTTATTCATGACTACCCCAAATTGGAAATAACCTAGATGTGAATGGATCAACAATCTGGTAAATCCAGACAATAGAATATAATTTAGCAATAAAAAGAGACTATGAATTTATATAAACAATGTGAATTATAGATGCATTTTTCTCAATGAAAGAAGCCAGACCCAAAAGGCTACATATCCATTTATAGAACATTCTGGAATAATAAGAACAGAAAACGGATCAGTGTTTTCCAGAAATAAGGGATGAGGGAAGGTTTGACTGTAAAGTGGCTATGTAAGAGAATTTGAAAATAACAGAATTGTTTTGTTTAGAACCGTGATGGTGAATATGCAACTGTAATTTGTCAAACCCCATAAAAATCATACCCAAAAAGAGTATGCAAATTTTCAAAAATCAGGATGTTGAGAGAGTTTGAGATGTAATACAGACTGTGACAAATTAATCTAACTATATTACAATTGAACTACATAATTTCACTGGAGGGTGGAAAAGAAATGATTTGACCTCAGTAACTCTGGAAAATACTTTCTGAACTGGAAACTGTAAGGTTAGATAAAAAGAGAAGAAGATGAACTGTTTGTAAACACTGTACTTTTCTCAGAGACATTAGAATACTAAGTCTGAAATCACTTTACAGGTGTAACAAATACGAAACTAATATGTTGATGGTTTTTTTTTTTTTGGTACCATGGATTGAAGCCAGGGGTGCTTGAGCACTGAGCCCCAGCCCCAGCCATTTTTTGTGTTTTATTTAGACAGGGTCTCCTGAGTTGCTTAGGGCCTCACTAAATTGCTGAGCCTGGGTTTGAACTCGTGATCCTCTCACTTTAGCCTCCCAAGTCACTGGGATTATAGGCATGCACCACCATGCCTGGTTAATGTTGATTATTTGAGCCAGATTTTCTATAGCCAGAGGGGAAAAGTTACAAATAGGGAAAGGGAGAAAGCTAGAATAAGATGTTGGATTGGTGTCAGATATATCAGTATGAACTTTTATTAGATGTGGTGGGGGAGAAAGAGTATTAATATAGTATACTTAAAAAACAATAATACCCAAAACCAAATAACTCAATCAATAAATGGGCCAAGGAAATGAATGGACATGATGATATACAAATATGTGAAAAAATGTTCAACATCTCTAGCAATTAGAGAAATGCAAATCAAAACTTCTCTAAGATTTCATCTCACTCCAGTCAGAATGGCATCTATTAAAAATACAACAATGATAAGTGTTGGCAAGGTGTGGTTTTTCCCCCATACATTTCCCACACACATACATTGCTGGTAGGACTTCAAGTTGGGGCAACCAATCTGGAAAGCAGTATGGAGATTCCTTGGAAAATTCATAATGGAACCTCCACTTGACCCAGCTATTCCACTCCTTAGTTTAAACCCAAAGGACTTAGAAACAACATATACAGTGATATAGCCACATCAATGTTTATAGCAGCACAATTCACAATAGCTAAACTGTGGAACCAACTTAGATGCCCTTCAGTAGATGGATAATTGACTAGGAGTTACAGTCAGCAGAAGGGAAAGTTAATTTAATTGGTTTAAAAATCTTGCAGCCACAGAGAATGTTAAATTTATTTCATTTTGCTATATGGAGAAACAGCAGTATATGATACAAGGGGACATGCTTTTGGAGGGTGTATTGTCCTTCACAAACTATATCTGTGATTTTCAAAACTTGAAAATAACTGTCTTGAAATTTAATAGTCCTTTTCATATGCCAGTTCTTATCTCTAAGACATGTGGGTAGTAACAGAAATGCATATAAATAAAGATTTTACCAAATAAAAAAAGAAAGAAAAAGAAGGAACATGTGAGAAGTTTGAGGAAAAACTTAATTCTTTGGACTGAAAAGCCTCACTAATTGGGAGAAAGATTAACCTCTAGCTTTATTATAAAAAAGTTGCTAACTTCAACTAATAAAATACTGGGCTAAAAAATCAATTTTTCCCAGAGGAAGGTAAATCACAGTAACATAATACTGAAAGCTAGAAGACAGCAGAGCAATCTACAGAATACTGAGGAGAATACTAGGGCAGGGACACATCTTAACAAGCAACTACAACTGTCTATAATATCTGTAAGTGTACAATATAGCATGAAGATGACATCTCTGGATTTTATTCAGCAAGAAACTCCTATCAAGCTGATTCATAATAGACTGCAAGAATTATTAAAACTGTATGTTATTTCTTGATTTGTATATTTTATCTGAATACATTGCAAACTTTAAGTATGAGATTTCAAGGGACATAATGATTGCATTTCAGCCAGTTTTTGAGAAAGAAGAAATTTAATAGGTAGTGGTAGTTACAAAGCACAATGAAAAAGACTGATTCCTGGGTCTTGCAAAAAAAAAAAAAAAGAAAAAGAAATCAAATAATGCAGGAGATACCAGCTTCCCATTTAAAGAGGGCCTTTTTTTTTTTTCATCTGAACTCAGCAAACTGTGGTCACATGATGGGAAAACAAACATTACACTTAAGGAGCTGTTTTAAAATCCTTTTAAATTCTTTGTCAGGCTAGGAATTAAGTAGTTACCATGTAATTTCAAATTGTGTACACACAGCTAGAAAAGAATTATTAAAAAGTATCTTATATTATAACATAAAGAATACTTCCTATTTGTTATGTGTCATAAAATTTTATAATGCATAACTAAAAAATTTAAGCCTTGGGTTATTTTCCCAATCCTTATCTTTTATGCAGTCTGTGGCTGTATGGATGATTCACACATGCTCAAATACTTCTAAATTCATATTGATCCCCAAAATTGTGAATTTATGATCTTCTCATACTCTATGTCTGCTATGTCTCTGGGAAAGAGCATCAGATGCTTAAATTCAAGCCAATATTGCCAAAGAAGACTAAACTGTTAAATACTTACTTATATAGTTTTCCATAGTATTCACCATATTTTGGATTTTTATTGAAAACTCTAATCTATTGGGATCTATAAGGAGATTTGTAGGGAATTCTGGAACTCTAAGAAAAAAATTAAAGAATATTTGAGTAGAATATCATAATTAACAAAATATAATTACTCATAATGTCAAAAAATGTCTGATACTTACTTATCATTCAAGTTTTTATTCTCCAAATCAATCGTAGTTTCTGGGTGATTTCAATTGAAAGAATGAGAGAATTAAAAAAAATTGATTGATATTTATAACAGTTAAATGACAACTTGATATGTGTCAGTGCTTTCCAAATAGCCTAAGAAAGAACTCTAGTGGTCATCTGAAAGGCACTATTCAAGTAGCACACTCCAGCCCAGATTCTGGAGTCCAAGAGTTTGAAACTAAAAACTTTCATTTTTTCAGCTGTTTTGGGGATGGAACCCAGGTCTTCATGCATGCTAGGCAAATGCTCAACCACTGAGTTACTTCTCCTTCCAGGTAGTATCTATCCTGATGAAGAGAGTCCTTTAATCCCTTCAATGAGAAACTGCTTGGCTTTTTTTTTTCCCTCTTCTTCTTGTGGTATTGGAGATTCAATTCTGGGGTAAGGAGGATTCTACTACTGAATTATATCCTCAGCCCTTTATACTTTTGAGACATGTTCTCACAAAGTTGCCTAGGCTAGTCTTGAACTTGTGATCCTTTTGCTTCAGCTTTTTGAGTCAGTGAGGTTATAGGCATTTGCCACTATGCCCAAAATTGCTCATGTAATGAGATGAAAATGAATATGGTATTATTACTTACTTGCACCACAAATGATCTATACATTCACTGCTCATTTTTGGCACTGTTTATCTGTTTATCTTAAAATTTATAAAAATAATAATCTATAAACTGATAATTCATAAATAAATTTCTCTTACATATAATTTTCCAGCTATTAATATATTTACCCTCATTGTTAATGTCTCATTTGTCTTACCTGAAATGTCTTCAAAGTTATAAGAAAACATCTGTGGTTCCTTGGCTTTTGGGAGCAGTTCTTCACTTAAGTCATTTTTGACATTATATTCATTTTCTGACATTTCATCTTCTTCACATGTCATACATTTTTCAGGGCCCTGGTCAGTCTCAGGAAAGTTCTCTTGAGAATTTTCTGGAGAATAACTCTCAGAAGGAGTTCTCAAGTGTAGATTTACTTCAAATATTGGGGCATATATTTTTCTCAGATTCTTCTCCACTTTAATGCCACTCAAAACCTAATTTAACAGATATGTTACCATGCTGGTGACAATATATAACTAATAGGATGTTTAATCTAGGGTAATAAATTTTAAGTGGTAAGTTGTAACTAAACTTACACATTAAAATACTTTTTAATGGTATGAGGGGCATATGTATATGTTTGGTGTGTTGAATAAGGAAGTGTGAACAATAATCATAAATCACATTTTTACTTCCAAAACTTATAATTCAAAAATGTTTATATTTTTCAAACAGGCTCTTACCTCATTAATATCAGTGTTTGTTTTTACTTCTGAATTTTGAACAGAAAAACTATCTGAGTTTGAATTAACCAGTTCATCGCAATCATTTGTTATCTTTCCAACAGGAAAAAAGTTGTCCTTGAATGTTCTAGATTAATAAATGGGGAGAAAAAAAGTAATCCTCTTAAAGTCATATATCTCATTAATATAAAACTATATATAAAGAACTCCTATAACTCAACAACAAAAGATCAAAAAAAAAAGTTGAAAAATTGACAAAGGATTTGACTGGGTCCTTTTCCAAAGAAGATGTACACAAACAGCTTTCACTTAACCCAGACAGTGACAGAGCACCAATGACTTTGAGCAGAGGAAAGTGGATCAATCAGGACTGCATCACTTTGGCCGCTGACATTGGAGGTTGGCATTGTGGGAAGCCTAGGGACTCTGCCCTTGATCATGGGGCCACACTGGAGAGAAGCTGCTGAATATTCAGAAACATAGAGATCCGGTTCTGGGATGGTGGACACTGCAGGCAGAAGGCTGCTAGGTGAGTTCCCTGAACACCCCAGGAAACCTAAACAGAAGGCATCCATAAACGTAGCCAGAGGGAGATCAATTAAGGTGGAAAATTGCCTGATCTGAAGCAACAGACAGTAACTGCTCCCAGCCTTATCCAGCTCCCAGCCTGACCTCATGGTCACAACTGGTAAGTGAAAGAGCACTGTTTGGACACTGTCTGGACTTTGCATCATTCACAGTCAACAGAGGGAATTAATACCTGCTGTTCACAACTTGAGGCAGTAGAAATTAGAATCAAGGTTAACCACATGAGTCCCTTTACTACAGTACTCCAGAAAGTGGCATTGGCCAAGAGAATATGGAAAATTCACAACCAGAGATCCTGTGTTCATAGACAGCCAATGGGCTCTACACCAGAATGAAAAGGATCCTGCAGAGGGGAGCAGGTACATGGCCATGGCAATCACAAGAACACTCAAGAGCCTAAATTCCTGTACTCAATAGAAACAGCCAACCACAACATAGCAACTTACAAGCAATCAGCTGCAGGCCCTGAGCTGATAAACCAGAATTGCCTGGTGGGAAATCCATAACAACTAGGGAACTGGTTCCTGTGCCCCAGCAATTCTGGAGGGATCCACAAGACAAAGAATAATGAACATTGGCTAAATATCCAAACCCCAATGAAATCTAAACCAAGATTCAATAAGAATTTTCTTCACTTTTGCATGGTTTACAATTATGAATAATTGTTATCCTAATAGCTAATATTGTACCTGCAATCCATTTGAATGTATTTCATCTAAAGGTTTAAAACATTAGTTGGAATCAATTTTCCTATCTTTTTTTTCCTAGCTCAAGTTTATACTTGCTTTTCTTATGCCTTATTCATCCTCTTGCATTATCTGCTACTAACTTCAAATACCTACCATCCATCTATACTCCTTTCTATATTGGTGGAAATTATTCTTTTCTTTTTTGGTATTTCTTTTTCCCATTTTCACTTCTCCTTTTTGCTCAATCTTTCTTTTTCTCCACCCCTTTTAGCCCTCATTTAAGATCAAAACAATTGTGCTAAATTTAATAATAATTTTTTAACCTATTCCAGAATTTGTAATAAAGATCATGCTTGTATTTGAGTAACTGTGAGGAGCAATATCAACAAACTTTTTGTTTCTTATTACCAATTATTATCAATATTACCAGGCTTCGTTCTGAAGTTATTATAGTGAATAGAGTGGTATCTCTCAAAGTGGTGGTGACATTTGGGATCAGCAGAGGTCAAACATTGACTTAAGTATCAATATCTGGATATTCACCCAACCCAGGGCTTTTAAGAGAAAGGAGTTCAGAAAATAGTTCCTTGCTTAAAAGAAGAAGTGAGAACTATTACAATAAATGGGTAAACACATAAACAATATGAAAAAGCAAGAGAACAAACCACACCAAACAGCCCATGCTTCCACAACTGACTCCATTGACATCACAGTGGAGGAAATGTCAAAGGAAGAATTTAGAAAGTTCATAGTCAAACTGTTCTAAGAGCTAAAAGAAGATGTAAGGAGTAAAATTAGAAAGAAAATACAAGAAGCGAAAGATCACTGCAATAAAGATATACAGGTTCTGAAAAAGAACAAAATAGAAGTCCTGGAAATGAAAGACTCTGTAAACCAAATTAAAAATACAGTGGAAAGCATCACCTATAGATCAGACCACTTTGAAGTTTTAGGCCACAAAGACAAAGTATATAATCTTGAAAATAGTGTTGACTTCAAAGGCCCTAGAAAAAGAAAAAAACACCAACACCAAAATCAATAGAAGTCATGAATAACTAAAATCAGAGCCAAAATTAATAAAATTGAGAAAAAAATATGAACGATTAATGAAATAAAGAGCTGGTTTTTTTGAAAGGATAAACAAGGTTGATAAACCCTTAGCCAAACTAACCAAAAGAAAGAGAGAAAACTCTCAAATTATCAAAATTTTAGATGAAAAAGGAACTCTTTCCACAGACACTACTAAAAACCAGAGGATCATCAGGATCATCAGAAACTATTTTGAAAACCTATATTACAATAAATTAGAAAATCTTGAGGGTGTTGAAAATTCCTAGAATTCCTCAAACTGAACCATGAGAATAAAGAAAAATTAAACGGGTTAATATCAAGTAATGAAACTGAAGCAGCTATCAAAGCCTTCCAATAAAGAAAAGCCTAGGACTGAACAGATTCTCAGCTGAGTTCTACCAGACCTTTAAAGAAAAACCAATAGTAATCCTCCTCAAATTATTTCATGAAATAGAAAAGGAGGAAACACTGCCAAACACATTCTATGAATCTATATCTCCCTGATTCCCAAACCAGAAAAAGACATATTGAGAAAAGAAAACTTTAGGCCAATATCTTTGATGACATTGATGCAAAAATTCTTAATAAAATATTGACAAAATGCATACAAAAACACATTTAAAATATAGTGCACTATGACAAGTCAGTTTCAAGCCAGAGATGCAAGGTTGATTCAACATATGAAAATCAGTACATGTAATTCACCACATAGACTTAAGGTCAAGAATCACAGAATTATCACAATAGACGCAGAAAAAATATTTCACATAGTATAGCACCCATTCATGTTTAAAACACTAGAGAAACTAGGCCTACAAAGAACTTACTTCAACATTATAAAGGCTAACTATGAAAAATCCAGAGCCAACATCATACTGAATGAAGAAAAACTGAAAATATTTTCTCTAAAAACAGGAACAAGACAAGGATGCCCACTTTCACCCACCTAGTCAATATAATCCTTGAAACTCTAGCCAGAGCAATCAGGCAAGAGAAGAAAATTAAAGTAAAACAAGTAGGAAAAGAAGAGCTTGAATTATCTCTGTCTGCTGATGACATGATCTCTACTTAGAAGACCCAAAAAACTCCACCAGAAGATTTCTAAAACTCCTAAATGAATTCAACAAAGTAGCAGGATATAAGATCAATTCTTATAAGTCAATTGGATTCCTATACTCCAATAATGAATCTGCTAGAAAAGAGATTAATTATCCTATTCATAGTAGTCTCAAAAAAAACCCTTGTTAATCAATATTGACAAAAAAGATGAAGAACTTCTACAATGAAACTTATATAACACTAAAGAAAACCTTTGAAGAAAATCTCTTAGAAGATGGAAAAACCTACCATGTTCTTAGATAGGTAGAATTAATATTGTCAAAATGGCCATACTACCAAAAGTGCTACACAGGTTCAACAAAATACCCTTCAAAATTCCAATGACATTCTTCACAGAACTAGAAAAAGCAGTTCTGAAATTCATTTGGAAGAATAAGAGATCCAGAATAGCTAGAGTACTCCTTGGTGAGAAGAGTGAAGCAGAAAGCATCACAATACAGGACCTCAAATTATACTACAGAGCTATTGTAATAAAAACAGCATGGTACTGGCACCAAAACAGGCATAGAAGACACAGAGAAAAACCCACATAAATACAGTTATCTGATACTAGAAAAAGGTATTAAAAACATACATTGGAGAAAACATAGCCTTTTCAACAAATGGTGCTGGGAGAACTGTAAATCCATATGTAGAAGAATAAAATTTAACCTTTATCTCTCACCCTACACAAAACTCAACTCAAAGTGGACCAAAGACATACATATTAGACAAGAAACTCTGCAGCTGCTAGAAGAAAATGAAGGAAATGTAGGCCCAACATTCCAGAAAGTCGGTACAGGAAGCACCCTCCTAAATAAGGCTCCTAAAGTGCAAAAAAAAAAAAAAATTAAAAATCAATAAATTGGATGGCATCAAATTAAAAAGCTTCTGCACAGCATAAGTAATAATTAGGAGCATGAAGAAAGAGACTGCAGAATGGGAGATCTTTGCCATGTGCTCCTCAGAGCATTAATATCCAGAATATACAAAAATTTTTTAAAATTTTAAAAAACACAAATAACCCAATCAAATAATGGGCAAAAGAAGTAAACAGACACTTTTCAAAAGAATAATTACAAATAGTCAACAAATATATTTTAAAAAGTTCAACATCTCTAGCAATTAGGGAATCTGAAAGCTACAGTAAAATTTCATCTCATTTGAGTCAGAATGACAATTATTAAGAATAAAAATAGTAATAAATGTTGATGAAAATATGGGGAAAAAGTTACAGTTATATATTATCGATGGGACTGCAAATTAGCATAACTACTCTGGAAGGTAGTATGGAAATTGCTCAAAAAACTAGGAACTGAACCACCATGTAGCCAGATCAATGTTTATAGCAGCATAATTCACAATAGCTAAACAATGGAACAAACCTAGATGCCCAGCAGACGAATGGATAAAAAACATGTGTTATATATGCACAATGGAGTATTACTCGGCCATAAAGAAGAATGATTTTCTGTCATTTTCCAGTAAATGGATTGAACTGGAGATTATCATGCTAAGTGAAATAAGCCAGTCCCCAAAGGCAAAGATCAAATTTTTCTGTGATATTCGGAAGTCAATCTAAAATAAGGGTGGGGGGGGATAACAATAAAGGGAAAGAGAGAGAGAGAAAGAAAAAAAAGAAGAGAGGAGATTTCATCAAAATAGAGAAAAGATCAGTAGA